GGCCTTCAGCAGCCTCTCCTACACCGGCGGGCCTGCCTCCCGCATCAGCTCTTCCAGCACCTGCCAAATGGGCAGCAGCAGCAACTTCCAGGGCGGCCTGGGGCTGGGTGGCTATGGCGGGGCTGGTGGTGTGGGAAGCATCACCGCCACCCTGGTGAAACCCCTGAACCTGGAGGTGGACCCCAACATCCAGGCCGTGGGTATTCGGATAAGGAGCAGGTCAAGAACCTCAACAACAAGTTCACCTCCTTCATCAACAAGGTTCAGCTTTTGGAGCAGCAGAATAAGATGCTGGAGACCAAGTGGAGCCTCCTGCAGAAGCAGCAGATGTCCCCCGGTAACGTGGACAGCATGTTCGAAAGCTACATCAATGACCCCTGGCAGCAGCTGGACACACTGGCTCAGGAGAAACTGAAGCTGGAGGCGGAGCTTGGCAACATGCAGGGGCTGATGAAAGACTTCAAGAATAAATACGAAGATGAGATCAACAAGCGTACAGAGACGGAGAATGAATTTGTCCTCATCAAGAAGGATGTGGACGAAGCTTGCATGAACAAGGTGGAGCCCGAGTCACGCCTGGAAGGGCTGACTTCCTGTCCCAGCCCGCGCCTCTCCTGAGGCTGCCCCAGAGCCGGTGGGGAGACAGGTGTGCAAGGGAGTGTTGGGAGCAAGAGACCCACCTGAGGCTCAGCTTAGCCCTGAGCCCACCCTTGGGGGGACATTATTGCCTGGGGTACCCCTTCTTGCCCATGCCTTCCACCAAAAACCAATTAAATTGTCTTTTCCAAAATAAAGCCTGGTTGGGCCAGCCAGATAGTTCAGCAGATTAAAGCACCTGCTTGCAGGCCCAGGGGCTGGGGGTTTGATCCCCTGGCCTGCTATGCTGGCACCGCCCCTAGGGCGCCCTGAGACAGCAGTTGAGATTGGGCGTGGTGGCACGAGCCTGTAAGAGGCTGTAAACAGGCGGCTCACTATGAATCGGATCTGGTAGTGAGACCCTGAACACCCTGTAGACCCTTCCCTAAAAAACAAAAATATAAATAAATAAATAAAGCCTGGTTTTGCCATCTGAAAAACAAACAAACAAACTATAGCAAAGAATCAAGGAAGGAAGAAACATGGGTGAATAGAAAAGGAATCTCACTCAGAGCTACTTATAGAAATTCAACTAAAAACATAGATAATTGGAAGAAAGGGAGGGA